ACAAATATGATCAATTAAAACTTTAATTAATTATACTTCAACACTAATTGTATAGAAAATTTTAATGACTAATAATAAAGTTGAAGTTGAATAAATGTTAATATAATCGCTACTCTTTATTTATTTAAGCTATTAAACAACCATACTAACATAATATATTATATACTCAAAATATTTAAAATTATTATATTATATATTATTACGTGGGAAATGGGGGTGCTATTATCCTAAAATAACAAAGTACTAACGGCATCATCATASAATTATGATTTTATTAGAAAAAAAATTGTTATTAGAATAGATTCTTAATTCTTATATTAATTTATTTTATTATGGACCCCATATTAGATATTGAAACGTGGGGCCCTGTTTCAATGAACCACCCGCACCGGGGTTACTACGGCACTGTCCATATGTTAGACATGGCTAATGAGCTGATATCAATTAGGTCGCAGTTGCCAGGTACAGATTTATAAATATTCTGAAATTATCTATTTATACAATAAAAAATTATATTTATACTGTTGGTAATTCATCAGTAATAGTAATAATTGGACTGTGATAACTAACAAATCTTTCTAAGCCTGTTATTGTAATCTTGATTTCTTTTATTAAACTTTTGTTTATTTATTATAAATTACAATAAAGCTTTCAATTTTCTCAATTATATATACTTTTGTCTAGTAGTGTTTTCTTACAAAATATAAGGTCATTGTATAAGATGTTGATATAAATGTATATTGTATATTTGTTAAATTAGTAAAGAAAAGATATCATAATTTTAAAATTATTTTTGGAGTGTGTTTATCATGGTGATAATTTAACCATTATACTATGGTAATAAAAGTTTTGACATCATAAACATTGATTAATTACTGCTTATGATTTAACATAATAAATAATTGTAATGATTAATCAAAAGCATAAAGTAATTTAATTCAATGATCAAAAGRAGGATTAAGGACTAAAATTGTAGTTGTAAAAACAGTGATCAAGGATTTATATATTTAAACTAGCAAGTCATTTGAATAGCTCCATTTAAATTAAATTAAATATTTATTTAAATAATTAATATCATTAATGAATGCATTATTTTAGACAAATACAAAGTAAATAATAAAAATAAAATTTGTCAGTTTCCAAAATTATATGCTCATCTTCTTTTTCCTCCCTTTCCACCTTTTCCTCCGCCTCTTCCTTGAGATTTTGGATTCTTTGAAGATGTAGATTTTGCTTTTTGATTTTTTTGATTTAATACAGATTTCTTTTTAGCCAACATTCTTTTAGCTTGATTTGCCCTAAAAGCAAAAAAAAAAAATGTTGAATAATAATTAATTCAAATAAACCAAGATTTTCCAGTTCTAAATATTTGTAAATATATACACTTACTCGTATCTRTACTTTTTAACGCCAGACTTGCTTACGTCTGTAAACTGAGAGTCAAAAAYAGAACCTCCTTTCTTTTGCTTACCACTAGCAGACTTAGAAGAAAATTTACCACCTAGAAACATTATATATTTAATATATATAGAATAAAAAAAATAACTTAACAAACCTTGACCAAAATCTGACATTGCACTCATTTTCTTAGGTTTCATTTTATTTTTTGCACTTCTAGCTTGGAAATTAGCAACTCGCTGCATTTTTTTTTGATTTTCAATTTCTTCTTCTTCATTAACATCTTCTTCATTATTTTTCTTTTTTTTTTTAATATTTTTCTCTATTTTAGCTGAAAAGGCTTCTCTTGATCTTTCTAAAAATTCGGTAATTTTTAAATTAAAATTTGTATTTTAGAATACATATCAATACATGAACTATGTTTTATTCAGAAAACCARACGGAAGGTAAAAACATGATGCTATTCATGGATCTATCCTCATTAAGCTGCCTCCACAAATCAGATTAATAAGCTCATTCCACCAAAATGTCTAATACTTAGTTGCGAAAAGTGAAGGCAGTCTTTTTATATTCTGAATAAGGTATATCAAACTAATAGCTTACTTTTAGCTTCTCCTCGCTCTTTTTGCGTCTGGAACCAATCTCTTTTCTTTTCATCTTTCTTTTTAATAAGACTACCAATACTAGTTTTTGCCATTTTTTCAGTTTTTTCAGCGAACTCTTCTGTTCGACTCATTTGTCGTTCTTCATATTCTTCATGCATTATACATTTAACCTCATTTCTAAGTGAATCTACACGCTCTTTATACTTATCYAAAATTTCTAGAATGCGTAAATAATTTGATAATATTAATTAAATAGTTTATGGTTAGATTATTACTATAAAAATAATTTTAGTAATAATTTTACATACCAATAGGAATAACACGATTTTTTACTGGATTCTTGGCCTTTCGTATGACTTCTTTTAGTACTCTACGGTCTTGTTCACTGGCAATAGATACAGAAACACCAGATCGTCCTGCTCTGGCTGTTCTACCAACTCGATGGATATAATGTTCAACAGTTGGTGGCATAGTATAATTTATAACCTAAATATTAAATAATATAAAACATATAATATATATTTAACTAATTATCTTACAGCTTTCACTCCTCGGATGTCCAATCCACGAGCAGCAACATCTGTGGCGATTAACAAATCAAGTTCTTCATCTTTAAACTGCCGTAACGCTTCCAATCTTTGAGGTTGAGATAAATTTCCATGTAATTCTCCAGCCTAGTAATGCATTAATTGTAAATTATAAATAATATAAATAAACATTATTTTACCTTGAGGCCAAAAAGTCCAAGTAAAATTTTCACTCTGTGTGCATCAGCTTTTGTTCTAACAAATATCATAGTATGATCTCTAAATGTTCGACAAACTAAAGCAGCTAATGTTGCATCACGATCTTGTTCTTTTCCTTGACGTAATCTAWAGCCAATAAAGAGTATTTATTTAAATTACTGACTCAATTATGTCTTATAATTTAAACTGTTTTTATACCTAACAAATTCTTGTCTTAGATTAAAAGCAACATCTGTATTACTGTCTACAAATATTTTAACTGGTTTACTCAAAGAAACAGTAGCAAGATCATTAACAGCATCAGTCATTGTTGCTGAAAACAACATTGTCTGTCTGGTTCGAGCACACATATTAATAATTTCTTTCATTTGGTCAGCAAAATTTTCATCTAACATTCTATCAGCTTCATCTAAAACTAATACTTCCAAATCTGATAATGAAAATGAAGGAGTATTTTGTAAATGATCTAACAAACGACCAGGTGTAGCTATTACAATATCAGGGTTTTTACGTAAAATTGATTCCTGAAAATAAGAATAGCTATAAGAATATSCATCAACAAACCATAATATGTATGTATCTTACTTGCACTTTGAGTTCTAACCCACCAACAGAAAGACCAACTTCAACTGATGTAAACTGTGCAAGTTGCTTTGTAACTTGGTATACTTGAACACCTAATTCTCGAGTTGGTACCAATACTAAGACCCTAACACAATACTACAATTAATTTTATAATATTAAAAATTTTACTACCATTAAAAAACTGATTTACCTTGTAATAGGAGTAAAACCTTTGGGTCTGTATAAAAGTCTTTCAAGAATGGGTAACATATAAGCTGCTGTCTTACCAGTACCAGTAGCAGCACAACCACAAATATCTCTTCCTAAGAGAGCCACTGGTATAGCAGCCGCTTGTATAGGTGTYGGATGAACATAGTTCAATGCGCTTATAGCYTTCATCAAAGGTCTTGAAATATTCATTTGATAAAAAGAAGCATTTTCTTCAAATGGTGGAGCGTCTTCAAAAAATTCTTCTTCATCTTCAACAGTTATTTCATTTTTATTTTCTTCAACTTCTTTCTTTTTTTTATTTCTTTTACCAACCAATTTTTGTCTATCTTTGATACCATCTGTAAAATAAATGGAGTGTGAAATTGAAATTCGTGTTAAAACTATAAATTGTAAACACGTCATAACCTTTTTTGAGTTCGTCTTCAGATAAAGAATCACAATCTGACTGTTCGTTATAATCTTCATGCTCTTCAGTAGTAACATCAGGTAGCTGAAAAAAACAAATTATTTACATTTAAAAGACTTAAAAATCATAAACGAGAATACTCACAAAAGACTTCACATATCTGCGGGATTTTTCTATTTTTTCATCAGTCCTATTGGTACCTTTACGTTTTATATATTTCTGTAAATCATCCCACGTGTCGTGATTATACTCTGAAGCCACGTTCAAGAATTTGAATTCGTCATCAAAATATGAATCACCCTTTGTCTTGTGTTTTTTAGGTTGGTGCTGAAAACATACATAATTAAAAATCTCAACACTTAAGTATATTTAAATCAATCTAGAATTACTTCGACTTCGACATCGGAATCCGACGAAGCATCGATCACATCGTCTTGATCGYCTATTGTTTTGATCATGTCCCATTTTATCGTACACATTTCTTAGTTCTTACTGATCCCAAAATATAAAATAGCTCTTGCCTATTGAAATATGTAATATTCTTTAATACCAATATTAAGTAAAAAATAAATAATGTCTTAGAAAATTACCTTTCTGGCAGCCTAACTTCCACTTAAAAGATTTTAWGGCTTCGTTCCGTATAGTGTTTACAATTTTACATGACCAAAATTTAAATTTGTATTTTGTATTTTGGTATAATGTAAGTTGTAATACGGCACCTATTTTGTTGTCAAAAATCACACATGTCACAAAACCGACATAACCTATAAATGGGAACGTATTGTGATAGTAATGTGATAAAAACCACTGAATTTGTGATAAATAGTGAGAACATTTTTTTTTTAAAACCACGGACTCATCTGAAGATCTCTTATTTTTATCATAGAACAATATATGTTTTTATTGTTTTTAATGTTTTAATAGTTTTATAGACCTTATAGGTACCACAGATTATATTAATTATATAATATAATATATTATAATATTATTWTACTATAAGTACCTATAAGGTTTATGGAATATCTAAACAAATAGTAAGTGGCTATATTGTTACTCAATTCTTATTCTTGGCTTCTTGCCTGTTGATTGAGTTAGCAGCAAAGACTATATATCAACATAAATATTTAATAATAATAAATTATGTGATTAGTTGCTTATTATTGAACGAATTGCGGAAAAAAATCCCCAGACCACAATATTTTACTCACAACCTCATGAAAATGGTTGAACATATATTTTTAAACGTTAATTAACACCTACTCACAGTAAAAACATAGCATTTAAAAATATTTCGAATAATTAATGCGTCAATAATACAAAATATAGATAATAATTATAAAATTTTGCTATAATTATTTTTTAATAAAAGGCGGATTAAAAAAATAATAAAATTTATAATAATATAATAATTATCAAACAATAATCATTAAACGTAGGCACCTATTTATCGTAAAAACATACAATAATATAATTGTTTGTAGTTTTTTGAAATTTTCAACAAATGTTTTTATGATGTTTTCTATGTATGAATGTATGATAAMATTTTAAAATTTTTTAGAGCTATTTATAAATCAAACGTTATGATTATGACTTTATATATTAGACAAAAAACTGTTGACATTTTTAAATGTAATTATAACGAAAAACAAAAATAATTCATACCAAAAATTACAAACATTTTCTAAAAATGCAAAAAATTTTCAATTTCTATATAAGTATTGCAAATTTAAAACAAGGTTTCT